CTCCCTGGCTGCCACCCTCTTCCTCCTCCTCCTCCTCCTCCTCCTCCTCCCCTCCACTGCCGCCCCCCTCCTCTTCCTCCTCTTCCTCCTCCTCCTCCTCCTCGTCCTCCTCCTCGTCCTCTGAGTGTCTCTGCAGCCCGTCCTCCCTGCCCAGCACCATGGTGGCCGGGCTCGTCCCAGTGCCCGGCTTCCCCTCGGGCCCCGTGGACACGTGCAGGGTCTGGTTGTTGAGGTTCACCTCCACGATGATCTGGGACTGCTCCCGGCGGCTGTAGGTGCCAGAACCCCCAAGCTCTTCCTCCAGCTCCTCCCCGCCCTCCAGCTTACACAAGCTGGCCGGGGGCCCGCCGGCCTCCTCGACACCACCCTCCTTCTCCTCCTTGAAGAAGGGCTGGGCTGGCCCAACGGTGGCAGGCACTGTGCCACCAGCGGTCCCTGCCCCGTCCTCAACGCGCACCGAGTAGGGATCGGGGCCCTCGCGGGCATAGATCTTGGGCAGGCCCGGGGTGTCGGCCTCCTGCTTGATGTCACAGTAGTAGGGTGGCGCGGCCGGAGTGCAGCTGGTGGCCGGCTGGGCCAGGGCCACAGTGCCGGGACCCGGCGGGCCTAGAGAGCGGGCATCCAGCAGCTCCTGGCAGGATGCGGCGATGTCAGCCATCTGCAGCAACGAGGCAGCACTGAGCACCTCGTGGACGTTGGCCGCGTTGACCAGCAGCTTGGACGTGTAGATGAAGTTGAGGATCTGCTGCAGGCCGCCGGGCGCCAGCGCCTCCAGGGAGAGCTCCACGCGCTGCAGCTGCTTGTTCTGGGTGAAGAGCGAGTGGAAGAACTGGCTGTAGGCGGCTAGCACCCCCTTGTGTGCCGGGAAGACGCTGCGCTGGGGCACCAGCACCAGGTCCACGTCGCAGAGGTCAGGCTGGAAGAGGCGCTGCTCGTTCAGGCGGCCCATCAAGCAGGCGAAGTGCAGCGCCACGTCCTCCACCAGCGAGAACTCGGCCGCCGGTGAGTCGGTCGTCTTCTCAACCAGCAACTGTGGGGCAGAGAGCACAGGAGGGGGTCAGGGCCAGGAAGCCCCCGCCCACCCCCTGCAGCCCACCCTCCCCCGGCGGCACCCGCCATCTGGGAGGCTGCCCCTCACTCCTGGCTCCACCTTACAGGAAACGAGCCAGACTCAAGCGAGGGAGTTGAGGACTAGGACTCAAGCCCGAGTCAGCTGCCCTCAGAGCAGACTCCACTCGTGACCTGCTGAGGCTGAAGATCAGCTTCTGGATCAGTTCAGTTTTCTGGGCCTCGGCTCTGCCCCTGTGAAATGGGAAAAAGTCATCCCGGGAAGGGAAGGGGAAGGGAAGGAAATGGGACCGTGGTGCCCAACCGTCCAGGTTTGCCAGGGGCCTGGCTGCAGGACTCCTAGTGCTTGGACCAGGACCATCCCAAGCAAACTGGGACTAAGTGTTCACCTCAGAAGGGACACAGGCATGCCTTCAGCATTTCCCGAGTCCTGTGGATTCTCTCCCAGTCTCACACATACCACTAACAACAAGCTCGCCCAGCTCCAAACACCTCAAGAACAGAAGCCAGGCTCACTGGCTCACTGCCTGGCCTCTGGCTATTGTAACCCGGGGGGCAGCCCCTGAGGGAACCCCTCACCTCAGCAGCAGTGAGGCTGCTGCAGAAGTCAAAACTTGTGAAGAAATCCGGGTCCAGGTAACTTCTCCTCACTCAGGTCGTGCTGCCCTGCCCAAAGAGGCCGGTGAGGTCTTCATCACTCGGCCAGAGCTTGGGCCGAGCTGCCCCCACCTCTGCCTGTGGCCTCAGGCCTGGCCCCCAGCAGCCACCCCCTCACACAGGGGCTCTGTGGGGGTGGAAGGACACGCTGTGTTACCTGTCTACCATGCTTGTGAGGGGCGGTCCCCAGACCCCTGGTCAGGTTTGGTCCGGGCCTAGAGGCTCTAGGATGGCCCTGTCTTGGAAAGCACACCACCTGGAGGCTCTGGAGAGGTCCTCAAAGTCTGAGGTGAGACTCTCGGGCCTGTGGGCCACATCTAGTATCTGTGGATTGCCCAGAACAGGGGCAAACTCAGTCACCCCTGGCTCCATTACAGCGGTCTCCCCAGAGGGTGGGCAGCACAGAGAGATGGCCTACCCAGTCCTTTGCACAAGGCCCGGCACACAGCAGATGTTCAGTTAATATCCACCACCTACCTGCCTGGTTTGACCAACCCTACTGGATCTGATTCTGGCTCCCCTTAAGGCCTGCCCTACCGAGTCAACGCTTCCTACATTTGGGAGGTATCTTGCCTCATGGCCACAAAACCATCCACTGCCCCTGGAGGCCCTGAGATGAACCCGGGGATGCCCTCAGCAGCAGTGGGTGAGTTCCGGCTGGGCAGGGGTGTTGGTGTTCAAACCCATCCTCTGAATGAGAACCTGCCCTGGCATCAGGATGAGTGTCCATGAACACCAAGGGCAACCCTCTGGGCCCTGCCCTCTCTACCTAGCGGCCAGGGCAGCACTGCCCCATGCCCTCGGATCCCAGTCTGGTCAGGCCCTGGCTATGTTACCATCTTCCCTGAGCGGTCCAACCAAGAAGCCACTCATCTGCCCCTATGTACGGGAGCTGGCCTGTCCAGGCCTGGCCACTCCAACCGGGACGTGGGACCAAGCCATTCCCGTCTCCCTCCTCTGACTCATTCTGATGCATCTTCTGGGACTAACCACCACTGCACAGATGGAGAAACCGAGGCCCAGAATTAGGGCGTCCCACAGTCCCGAGACCCTGGACTCCTAGCTCTGCTATGGCTACCTTTTCCTTGCTGGACAGGACACTGCTCCACATGGCTGGATTTCTTAGCCTTAAATGGCTTCAAAAGTGGGAACCCGCTCAACCAAGGACCACCTTTGCGTCCCCAGGTCCCATCATTATTCCCTCTACCAGCTGCCTCCTCCCCAGAGCTGCTGCACCTGCAGGTCAGCAAGAGGTCAGGGTACAACTTGGGCTGTAAAAGGGGCTACTTAAGGCCTCCAAGGGCCAGAGTGTGGCAGAACCAGTCTGAAGAAGTGCTGGCCAAAGCCAGGCCTATGGGGGATCCACGCCGGACTCCAGGGCCCCAGAACTCTCTGCTCTCCCTTTACGGAACGCTCTCCGCTGTTCACCTGTGCTCACCTGCGGTAGGGAAAAGGCAACCTTCCAGCCTGGTTTCAGCAGGTCCCTCTGGCCTCAGCAGGGGAGAAGGGCAGTGCCGCCGCAAAGACTCCACTCCTAAGGCAGTAGCCCCAGCCTAACCAGCACCATCCTTGGCTCTTGGGGAAGCCCGCAAACCTCATGACCAAGTACCCTGACGGGACTCCCTCGACAGGGCACATCACTGCTGCGCAAGTCCGTAACTGGCACCCCCTCAGCAGAGTACAGCTGCCCCTTGCCCAGCCCCCCTGCGCAGTGCCTGCCAGCTGTGCTGGCCTGCCCAGCCAGATGTGCCAGTTCCCTGAAGCTGTGGATGCCCCACCCCATCTGGCTGTGCCAGCTGCGGCCACACACCCCACCCCCAAGCCTAGCTAAGACCAGGGGGACAGTCAGGCAATCCTGTTGCCTGGGGGTTTCACACCCTCCAGCCCTCATCCCCAAGTCAGGCGAGGGTTGGCCAGGTGCTAGGAACACCTGCCGAAACTGCTCACCCAAGTCTGAGCTTTCCACACCTGAAGGGTATCTTGCCTCACTGCCATGAAGCTGCCTGGAAGTCCCCGTGATGAAACCCGGGGAGTCTATCTGCGCCCCACCCCAATCCTCTCTTCATTGGGCAGCAGGGGTGGGCCCAGACTGACCAAGGGGGCACAAGCTCATGACCTCTAGGCTTCTCCTTGTGGGGAGGGGATGCCTAGGCCAGCCTCCTCTGCGCTCATACCTGCCGTCCTTCCCTGGGAAATAGAGCCAGAGAGGGCGGGGAACCGGCCCAAGGTCACACAGGAGTTTGTACTGGAGATCCAGGTGCCCCCCGCCCTTGGCCGGGACCATCCCGAATCCCCGGGCAGGGCGGCTCCAGCGCCCACGTGGCCCAAGGCCCAGGCGGGAATCCGACTCCGTCTTCCCCTCCATTACCCAGCCCGAAGGCGGCGCCGTCCCGGGATCAGGGGAGCGCCCCCCTCCGCCCGTGCCTAGCAGGACCTCAGCCTCTCGCGCCGGCGCCCCCACCCCAGGAATTTAACCCCCTCCCTACCGAGAAGCCGCGCCATAGCGCCGCATTCTCGGCCCGCGGGGACCCAGCGGAGAGGGTCGGGAAACCGGGGGAGGCGGCAGAGGCCCCGGCCCCTCCACCCGAGCCCGCGGACCGTGCGCTTGGGAGGGCAGAGCCGGCAGGTGGGCGGATAAGCGGGGGGACAGGCAGGGCCCTGCGTACCATGGTGCCGTGGCGCTGGGGGCTCACAGGGCCCCGCGGAATCGCGCTGCCCCCGGCGGCCGGGCCGGGGCCGCTCCATGAAGCGCCGCGCTGGGGGCCGCCCCCGCGCAGGGCCCCGCGACCATGGCCCCGGGGGCGCGG